CCCCCGCTCACCCTTGTCCTTATAAGGCCTCCTCATACTCTCCTGGCATTTTATTAGCTCAACAATACAACAGTTATGAAGGCAGTGAAGCCCAGAGAGAAGTATCATCTTTACCGCCTACTAGCTGTGTGATCTTGGGCAACACATTTTAACTCTATGAATTCTCTATTTCTCCCTCTGTAAAAATGGTAATACTAATGTCTACCTTATTATTACTCGTTAAATAAAATATATCTCAAAAAATAAAATTTATTTGTTAAATAAAATAATGAATGGGAAAGCGTCTAGCACAGAACTTGGTACATACTGGGGATCTGAAAAATATTTTCTTCCGCTCTTTCTCCTTCTCTTCTTTCCTTTTTTTTTGCCAGAGTTTATGCTGGGTGCTGCTGGAAATAAAAACACAAGTCTGACCTGGAACCTGCCCTTGAGATGCTTGACCGTAGTACAAGGCAGAAATGTGGTCAGTACTCCACGAGAGGGGCAAGTGAGTTGCCCAGTGGAGAACAGAGGAGGGAGGAATTGATTCTTTTGGGCATTTCGAGAGGCCGTGTAGGAGGAGGTAGTTTTTGAGAGAGAGATTTATGAATAGGTAGGATTTCTCCACTTCTTTTTCCTTTCTTTCTCTTCCATTCTCCTCCCTTCTTTTTAAAGTGCTGACCCAGAATTAAAAATGTCCAGATGCAGAAAAGGCTTAAAGTACAGTCTGATTAAGAGCCTGGCTCTGTTTTTTCTGGTGCTCTCAGGTTGGCTCTACCGCTTGTGTTGGCTTTGTCCTCAGGTACATGGATACCAGAGAGCAACTCACAGTGTCTCCCACAAACTCAACTCCCAGAAAATGCCGCATGTGCACACAAATGTCTGCATACAATTGTAGGGGTTCACAGACTCTCTGGAGCCCATCCATCGGCTCCAGATTTAACTCGGAATGAAGAAAGCAGCCCTGTGTAGATAAAATGATGCCCATGGGGCTCTTTTCTTCCTCCTTTTTGAGGTAAACTTAAAAGGGTACTTAGTTGAAATTGAGGTGCACTATCCTGAGTCCTTTCTTAAAAAGTGGGGCTCTGAAGTCAAAGTTGCCTGGATGAGGAGAGCAGGATTTTAACAGACGTTAAAGGGGGAGAAAACTGGTCAGGCCAAGGAAATGGCATGAACATAGAAAGGCTGTGACAGGCAAGCATAGGGATGTTTGGGGAAGGTGAGTAGACAGGTCTGACTGTGGAGCAGTTCCATCAGAGAGAGTCCTGGTGACGGCTGAGAGCCAATCTGTGCGCAGTTTGAGAGTAGGAGTAGGACTTGCTTCAGTTTCAGGCAATGGAATCCCTAACCTTTGTTATATAGCATTTATCACAGTTGTAATTTTATACTCCTGTGATGATTTGATTATCGTCTGCCTCCCCCACTAGCCGGTCAGCTCCAATGAGCACAGGCACTGTGTCTCTTTCTCTACCCTCTCTACCTCTCTACCCCAGCACTAGTAGAGGGGCTACTATATAACGGATGTTCAATATGTATTCGGGAAATGAACCAGTGGATGAGTGGATGAAGGGATGAATGGTTTCTAAGTGGGAAGAGACATGTTTAGATCAATGTTTCTATCAGATGTGAGCCTTGGTGCTTGGTTTGATTCTCCTGCATGGTTTCTTCCTTTGCTCATCAATCGTCATCAAGCAGGGGTAGGAACTGGCATCTTGCTGGCCAGGCCGTCCAGTGTGTGGGCAGATCAGATCATCTGAACTCTCCAGTGAAGTGTGCAAATCAACGTGGCATCTACCAAGCCGTTGTCCTGTGCACACACTGTTTGACCAGAGGCAGCTTGAAATAGTATAAAAACATGCATTTTTGGAGTCAGATAAGACTAGTTCAAATTTTAGCTCTGCCTCTTATTAGTTACAAATCTTTAAGGAAATTACTTCACTTCTCTGAATCTCTTTTCCTCATCAATAAAACAAGAATGATAATAAATATCTACCTTACAGTGTTGCTGTGAGGATTTAATAAGCTGGTTAATATAAAGGGCTGGCACACAGTGGGTGTTCTTTATTTTATTTCTTATATTTTGTTTTATTTTCTCATTGTATACTTGAAAAACGCAAAGAAGTATTTATTTTATTTTATTTTTTTCTGATTTTAAAAGCAACTTCATGCTCAGTGTAGAAAACTTGGTCTATACAGCAAAGTCTAAAAAACAAATTAATAACTGTATTTCTAAAACTGCAACTGAGTTAACCACGATTAGCATTTTGATGTGTTCTCTCCTAGAATTTTCTCTATTTATGAGAAACTTTATGTATTTTAAATAGATAATTCCTCCACATGGAACACAATTCGAGGGGGTACAAAATGGCAAACAGTGAAAAGTAATTCTCCCCTTCTAACCTGACCCAGCCACCAGTTCTCCTCCCTAGAGGCAACCACTGTCACCAGGTTCTTAGGTGGCTTCCCAGAGACAGTCTACATATTTAGAAAATCTATTTGATTTTCATATCATCTTCCTTTCACACAAATGCTGCATGGTGTACCTGCTGCTTTGCACCAGGGGCCACCATCTAAGTGAGTTCCCTTTCAGCCCTCAAGGATGTCTCTGTGGGCAGGGCCACGTAGATCTCTGGTTACAGATTCTCAGGGCTCAGCGAGGCTTGGTCTCGGTTGTATATTTTTACTCTTTGAACTGAAAATTTGCAAACAACTAAACAGGTGTTAGAATTCTCAGTCTCAACCGTTTCCACAGTTGCTCATGTGAGGAGCAGATCTGCAGGCGGTTGGGGCCAGCAGACAGGGTGGTCTGAGGCAGAATTCAGGCTCTCTCCAACATTGCATTGGCCCTCAGGTCAATCTTTTCTAAACTGACAATTGGGAAAGTGTGGTCTGACACAGGAAGATAATATTTTGCAATTGAGATTGATCCAAAAAATCAGGGATGAGTGCCCCCTAGGATGCTCTAGAGTGAAGGACAAAGCCTAAGTCAATATGGTTCACTCAAGACCAGCCCTGCCCTCATTCCCACCCTTCAGGCCCCACAACCCCGCTACCCCCAGCTCCTGTTGCTAGAGCTTCTCCTCTGCAGGCTGCACACCTGCCTGGTCAGATCTGCCCGCCTGTACTCTCATTAGGCCCTGTCTGCACACCAGCCCTCCCCACCAGGCCCTGCCCCTTCAGCCTCCCTGTTTCCATCCTTCTGCTAATTGATCAACCCAAGAACACTGATAACTATAGAACACTATAAGGGGCCCAGTGGACAAGGAGAGGAGATAGGAGGTGGACTCCTTCAAAGCTAAGCTCCAGAGAACAATGAGTAAGAATGAACTGATGTATTTGAGACAACTTATCTGTACAATGAGTATTAAATAATATAACAGATATGATGTGCTTTGTAAGCCATCAAGTGCTGTGTATGCATAAGGGACTCATATTCTTATGAGGATGATGATAATTTAGAAATAAGACATGGAAGCCAATCAATTTTCTAATTGATTTTTTCATTACAAATTATTACTTATTCATTTTAGAGGATTTAGAAAGTATATAAATAAACAAAATAAGAAAAATTGTCATAGTCTTATTAGAGAGTGTGGTACCTTATATTATTTATACAGTGCATGCCCTGTCCATCCCTACGGAACCTGTTTCTGTGGGAGGATTACTGTTTCCTTGACAACAAATTTTGCCACGTGACTTACTCTGGCCAGTTAAGTGTAAGTGGAAATGGTATGTGCCACCTCTGAGCAAAAGTTTTAGGAGATTTTTTGTGGTTCTGCCATCTTTTTTCTCCTTCTGCCGCAAGACTGGCATATCTAAGTTAAGGGCTTTTCTGTCATCTTGGGTTTTGGAATGAAGAGTCCTGTGAAAAACATGTAATGTGAGTGAGAAATAACATTTATTGCTGTAAGCCCCTGAGATTTGGGGGTTGTTTGTTACTGCAGCATAATTTGTCCTAAGATACCTGATACACAGAGAGGTAACAACTGTTAATATTTTGGTGTATATCCTTCAGTCTTTTTTTTTTTTTTTTTGCTGAGGAAGATTGGCCCTGAGCTAACATCTGTTGCCAATCTTCCTCTTTTTGTTGAGCAAGATAGTCTCTGAGCTAACATCTGTTCCAATCTTCCCCTACTTTGTATATGGGAAGCCACCACAGCATGGCTTGGTGTGTGGTGTAGGTCGGCACCTGGGATCTGAACCCGTGAACCCCAGGCCGCTGAAGCAGAGTGTGTGAACTTAACCACTATGCCACTGGGCCACCCTCCCCTTTGGTCTTTTTTCTATGCCTATATTCTATATATTTTTTCTTTCTAAAAATAGGATCATAATGTACATTTGATTTTGTGAAGTGCTTTCTCATTTCCTCTGAAAATATTTCAGTATGTATCTCTAAAACATAAGATTCTTCTTTAAACATAACCACAACACCATTATCACACTTAAAATTAATAATAATTGCTTTCTATCCCCAACTATTAGTCTTTGTAAAAATTTCTCTGACTTTTAAAATTAGTTCATTTAAATCAGGGATCCAAAAAAGGTCCATACTTTGCAATAGGTTGATGTGTCTCTCAAATCTCTCCCTCCCCTTCTCTCTCTCTCTCTCTTTCCCCTTGTGATGTGGTTGTTAAGAAACAGAACTGGGTGTTCTGTAGAGTTTCCCACAGTCTGGATTTTGCTGATTGCATTCCCACGGGTCCTCTAACATGTTCCTCTTTCCCCTGTTTCCTGTAAATTGCTGATTAAATCTAGAAGCTTGATCAGATTCAGTGAACAGATTTTTAAGCTCAATACATTATGAACATTTTCCATGTCATTTAATATTCTTCTACAACATGTTTTCTTAATGACTATAGAGCTGTCAAAAATATGAATGTATTTTCATTTATTCAGCTAGACCCCTATTGTCAGTTGCTTGGGTTGTTGCTAAATTTTTGCTACTGCACACAACTCACTGATAAACCTCCTTGTGGACTAATTCTTTTCTGACCTGATTTGCTGCCCCTCTGTTCTCTTAGTTCCTGCGGATGGTGGATGCTTGTGCCAGCTTCCTCACAGAAGCCTTGAATCCCGAAAACTGTGTTGGAATACTGAGGCTGGCAGACACACACTCCTTGGACAGTCTAAAGAAGCAGGTTCAAAGTTACATCATCCAAAACTTTGTGCAGATTCTGAACTCCGAGGAGTTCCTTGAACTCCCTGTGGACACTCTGTACCACATCTTGAAGAGTGATGACCTTTACGTGACGGAGGAGGCACAGGTGTTTGAGACTGTGATGAGCTGGGTCCGGCACAAACAGTCGGAACGACTCTGCTTGCTCCCCTATGTCCTCGAGAACGTGCGCCTGCCGCTTCTGGACCCGTGGTACTTCGTGGAGACAGTGGAAGCAGATCCTCTCATCAGGCAGTGCCCGGAGGTCTTCCCACTGCTCCAGGAAGCCAGGATGTACCACCTTTCTGGCAATGAGGTGAGTTGACGACGAGAGGTGTTGTAGTTAATCAGTGAAGTAAAGGAGTTAGCGGGCCTTACAGAGATATGGATGAGGCTGGCTCACAGTTTCTCAGGGCATCGAGAAGATGCTACACTGTTTATAGTTTGAGGCAGGCAGTTCCAGAAGCCCTGGATTTCTGATCTGTAAAATGGGGATGACACCACATCGTAGACAGCTACTGAGAGGATTAGGTGAGATACGGAAATCACCCAGCACCATGCCTGGCACATCCTTCCTTTCCTCAGTTGTGTAAGGGTAGGAGGTGGGTGGGGGCGATGCACACACAAATGGAATGTGCCCTCCAGTCCATTCCACAGGGGTGCTGCTTTCCTAGTTTGCCTACTCTGGGGAAACCTGGAGTCTCGTGGATCTCCTCTGACATTACCTTGGTTCAGACTCTCATTATTTCCTTTCGGAATTTCTGAAAATTCCTCGAAACTCACCTTCCTGCCTCCTGTCTGGCCTCCCCCAATTTCGTTCACCAACTAGATGATCTAAAACTCAAGCCTAATCATTTTGCTCCTGGGCTTATCCTCTTCACCAGCTCCCCACCACTTTCAGGATGAAGCCCACACTTCCTGCCTAAGCTCCTAGAGCCTGGCTTTGCATACCTCACCTCCTGCCCGCTTCTCCAGCATCATCTCTAACCTCTCCTGCTACAGTCCCAATGCACCGCTTGTAATTCCCCAAAGTGGATGTACTTTTTCAGCCTCCAGGCTAATGCAGGTGCTATTTTAAATGCCTTTTTCCTCTTCTTCATTTAGTTAACTTCTGCTCCTGCTTCAAAACTCAGTTCAAACGTCACCTTCTCCAGAGACCTCTCTCATTCTTTAGCACCTGGTGCATTGCTCTATCATAGCCCCAACAGCTGCATGTTAACCATTGAACTCCTCATCTGTAAATATCTCTACACTGGGAGTTTGTTATGGTAGGAAATATTGTATTATTGGACTTTCCATCTCCAGACCTTAGGAGAGTCCCTGGTGTATAGTAAGTGATTGGTAGATGTTTGTTAAACGAATAAATGGGTACCAAGTTGGTGAATACACATGTCTTTTGAATCTACCTGGTTCTCCTTAACAATTCCTGAAGAAGCGTTTAATTCAGAACTTTATACGGGCCAGCCCCGTGGCTTAGCAGTTAAGTGCACGCGCTCTGCTGCTGGCGGCCCGGGTTCGGATCCCGGGCGCGCACCGACACACTGCTTCTCCAGCCATGCTGAGGCCGCGTCCCACATACAACAACTAGAAGGATGTGCAACTATGACATACAACTATCTACTGGGGCTTTGGGGAGAAAATAAATAAATAAATAAAATCTTAAAAAAAAAAAGAACTTTATAAAGACAAGAATAGGCTTAGTGGAGAGGAACAAAACAATCATGAAATCATGATATAGGGACAATTTGGTAAGTTTGTACACATGAACACCCACACATACATACCACTATACAATAGTTCTGGGCTTGGCTACCAAGCCTTCTTCATTCGGCCATTGGTAGAAATCTTAGTAGACAAAAGTGGCTCAGAAATTGTCTGTCTGAGGCCCCTCGAGAGCTTCCTCCTTTCTCTGTGTGTCCTTTTATAGTTCTATGTTGTCCTCAGATCTACATCACTCATTCACTCTGCAAACACGTCCTTAAATGTTTGGTAGATTTTATCAATGATGCTATCAGAACCAAAAGTTTTCTTTGAGAGAAAGTTTTTAACTACGAATTGTATTTCTTTAATAGATATAGGGCTATTCAGGTTATCTATTTCTTCTAGAATGAGCTTTGGTAGTTTGTGTCTTTCAAAGAATTTTCCCATTCCATAGAAGTGTCTGAATTTATTGGCATAAGGTTGTTCACAGTATTCCCTTATTATCCTTTTAATATCTGTAGAATCTGCAGTGATGTCACATCTCTTATTCCAGATATTGGTAATTTGTGTCTTCTTCTTTTATTCCTGATCAGTCTGGTTAGAGGTTTATCAATTTTATTGTTTTTCTCAAAGAACCAGCTTCTGGTTTCATTTTATTTTCTCTATTGTTTTTATGTTTTCTATTTCATTTGTTTCTACTCTGATCTTGGTTATTTCCTTTCTTCTGCTTACTTTGGCTTTAATTTTCTCTTCTTTTCTAGTTTCTTAAGGTGGAAGCAGAGTTCATTGAGTTGAGACCTTTCTTTTTTTCTAATATTGTCATTAATGCTATAAATTTTCCCCTAAGTACTGTTTTAACAGCATCTCATATATTTTAATATGCTATGCTTTCATTTTTCACAAATAAATCCTGAACACCAACTATATGCCAGATATGCCACTAGGTACTACAAAAACAGTCTCTGCCTTACTAAACTTATGGTCTGTCAGAGAAGACAGGACACTAAGCAAATGAAGGGTGATGAGTAGACTGATGGAGGAAGTCCAGGCAACTACATGGGTCCTATCCCATGCTGGATATGTGGGTCACTAGCAGGTGGCTCAGCACTGGGAATCAAAGCCCTCATATACTTGAAGACAGGTATCAGTCTCTGCAACTGCTCTCTGCTCAGCATTTAAAGTACAGAGTCTTGGTTAACTATATATACTTCCAACATTCTGGCTATTTTTGTTTCTGCTTCCCATTTCCTAAGTCCCTGTAATGCAGGTGATAAAAGCTTTCCTCTGATATAAAATATCTCTACTATGCCTTCTGCAAAATTGCTGCTATGAAATATCTGCTCTGTCTTTTGTATTTGTAATGGGGTAGGGAGTGGGGAGCGGGATTATAAACTTGGGATTTAGGAGGAGAGAGAATTCTGATCTCTGGAAAAGTCTCCAGTGTCAGGAACTTGGGCTTGCAGTCAGGCAGATCCGGGCTTTAATCTTGACTGCACAATTTACCTACAGTGTGACCTTGGGCAGGCTACTGATCTGCTCTAGGGCTCAATCCTGACCTGTAACTTGGGGCTAAGAATACCTACCAACTGATAGAATTGTTCTGAGAATTCAATAAGATAATGAATGAGATGTGTTTAGCACAGTGTCTGGCACGCGGTATGGGCCCCACAAATGAAGACTGTTCTTCTCCTCACTCAGTTCCTGTATGGTGTCCTATCTCCGATGGTCAGCATATTCTCTCTGAGGCTACAATCTCTCTTTTCACTGTGTCCTAGGCTTTTGCTGCCTTATTGTCCCAAATCCTGCTCAGGGCACTTTCTCATTCCCATTTTACAGTCTGGGTAACTGAACCAGCCAAGTGCTGTGATCTCTGAATCGGGGTCTCATTGTCCGTTGATTCCCTGAAACTCCTTGTCTTCTCGCTGCTTGAATGGTCTTGGGTTTCTTCCTGATGACAGTGGTATGAGCCTAGAGGATACTCTGAACACATTTGCCCTCTTAACCTTCCTTTCCCAATCTTTACTCCTTCTTGTCCTATCATTATGTCTCCCTTTTAACCTTGTCCCTCCTCTAAGCTCCTGGAGGTGGTGACAGTAGGAAATTTTAGAATCCTAAAAGCCATTGTCAATTTACATTTGATTTAGGAGTAGTATCTGGTTCCTTTATTACGAGGGGTCTTTTGGGGCAGAGGAAGTTGCCCCTTCACTTCATTGCCTCCTAAGTTTCCAGGGGCCAACTTGATCTATACCAAAGGCTGCTCTGCCATGTGTGGTGTGGGGGGAGTCTCACTCCTGAGGACAGAGTGGGCAGAGGCTCACCCCTGAGGACAGCTTTGTTGAAGCAACACGGTCACTTCTGTTTGGTCCCCTCATATAGTCTCTGTGGACAATGAGGCATCAGTAAGGTGCAACTGTTTGCTCTATTTTTAACAATCTGAAAATAAACTGGTTAAGCCTGATCATTGCGTGCGTATCATTGGCAAGCACTTCCGTGTGTCTGCAACAAACTTGTACATCAGATTGGCATTTGTCATGCCTTTGTGGTTAATATCTTGCCGAATGTAGCTGAACTTGCAATTTGGTAATAGTGCCACCACTTGGCACTTCTGTGGTGCTGAGTTACATGGCAGGTCTCAATACCCAGCCAATCCCATCAACTAGATGATTGTATTAATTATCTATTGCTGTGTAACAAATTATCCCAAAACTTAGCAACTCAAAACAATAAACATTTATTATTTCACAGGTGTCAGGAATCCAGGAGTGATTCAGCTGGGTGGTTCTGGCTCAGGGTCTCTTCTGACGTTGCATTCAAGCTGTTGGCTGGGGCTATGGTCATCTGTAAACTCAAATGGGGCTGGAGGATCCACTTCCAAGCTCACTTACAGGATTGTTGACAGGTGTCGGTTCCTTGCTGGCTGTTGGCTGGAAGCCTCATTTCTTGCCCCTTGGGCCTCTCCATAGCAGCTGGCTTCCCCCACAGCAAATGACCCGGGAAAGATTGAGACAGCAATCAAGACGGAAGCTGTAGTGCCTCTGTAACCTAATTTCAGAAGTGATATACCATCACTTTTGCTGTAGTCTATTGGCATAGAGACCAATCCTGGAACAATGTGGAGGGAATGACATAAGATGTAAATACCCAGAGGTGGAGATTACTGGCGGCCATTGTGGAAGCTGGTTACCACAATGATCTAGACTGGAAAAAAATCTGTATCGGGTCTTGGATTACCCAGCTTGCCCATTCATTCTTTCATTCATTCAACTAACCCACAAGTTATTTGGGTTAGTTGAATAACCCATTCATTCAACTAACCCACATTTATAGAAACCCACGAGCTCCAGGCACTATTCTTGGTGCTGAGGATAATTGGATAAAAAGGGCTGTTCCTGCCATCAGGGACCTTGTAGTAAATTATAGTGGAGTATGAAAAGTGCTGTGATGGGGAAATCCAGGACTGTGGGAACATGCATGGAAAGTCAAGAATGGCTTCCTGGAGAAAAAGACAAAGTGACATTGCAAATAATGCCAAATAGCTTGAAGGGTAAGTGGATGGGAGATGGTGTGGGAAACTGAAGACAGATACTATGGGGAGATCCAGCCAGCAGGCAGGAACACAGTGATTTCGGCGTTTGGGAGTCGAGGGAGTCAGCGGGAGCAGAGTCTTCCACAGGCCAGGACTTAGGAACAGGATGCCAGTCCTGGGAGCTAGGAGTACGATCACGAGCTAGTGATCTTACTGGGAGCTAGTAAGTCCACTCCCCTACTAGCCAGCAGGCTCTTGAGGCAAGAGAGCAGGCACCATGAATAAGATGGGGGCTTCAGAGCAGAGGCTGAGGCCTGGCCCTCGGAACTGGAGTAAGGGTCACAGGGGAACCAATTCTGGGAGGCTAGTGCTGTTCTCTAAGCATCGCCCTATAAGCCCTAAATCCTCCCTGAAAGAGGACCAGATCAGTGCTGGAGGTTGCACTTCAGCTGTGGGGAGGGGAGGTTTAGGGGCAAGAACCAGGGCTAGTAGGTGGAGGGAAAATGGCAGAGTGGCAAAGTTTGTCTTTGGTGCCAATTCATTGCTCAGATCCTCTCCTGCCAGCTTGGTATTCTCACAGTGCCTCCAAGTTCCCGGGACCACCCCTCCCATCCTTATCCCAGGTGGCCTTTCTACTGTCAATGCCCTCAGGCTCAGCCCTTTGCCCCGCACATCCCCACTCGTTTCTGTTGACCCACAAAGGAGAGCCCTGCCACAGATTTTATGGCCATGGTCCAGCCTCAAGAACTGATGATGCAAAATTTACTGTATCCGACTCTTTGGCACAGAAAAACAAAGTCTCTTATGGGAAAGTAGAGGTTGGGTGTTGGCTGGTCTGATTACATGTGACCATTGACTGGATTCACCACGTAAGGGCACAGTCTTTGCTACTGTAACCTGTTTGTCACCATCTGTGGGCAAGATGGAAGATCCATAGTCCGTGTTAGGTCAGCCTAACCTTGCAGGAAAAAGTAGCTGTTTTGGCCATCTGGGAAATGGATGCTACCTCTGTCTCCCAGCAGCACACCTGCAGAACCTTCCCCATCAAGCCCAGGGGAGGGATGAAACCAGGAGGAGGGCAGCTCTCCCTTTTCCCTAATGATGTCAGTATGAGCATGACTGCTCCTCCTGCCATGACTATCTGTTGAGGGTCATGCATGTGCCAGGTGCTCTGCTCATCCCTCTACATCATAACCTCATGAATGCTCACAATGACCTGATGGCATAGAAATGATTACAGGCATTTATAGAGATTGTGTCACTCCTCCAAGGTCACGTGACTGTAGGTGGTGGCACCAGGATCAAACTCTGATGTATTTGACTCTAAACGTCTGCTCTTTCAGCTGCGTTCAAATACCCAGGGTGTGGATTTCTTTGCTTGTTCAAGGCTGTGAAGGTTCGTATGCTTGAGGTTGGGACCCAGTCCCTCAACCTCTCTGGCCACACCCTGCTCCCTTTTGGTTCTTTTCTACTAAGTGTCTGACTGCTTTTATGTGCCCACTGTCAAGACTTCTCTTCCAGAAGAAGTCTGATAGCGAGCAAATTCTGGGATATCATCAAGAAATTGAAACCAGGGGGTAGTGGAAAGTGGCCAGAAATGGCCAGGATTCAAGGCTCCACACCAGGCAAGAGAGAAGGGGCAGGAAGTGTGTTTGATGGTAAACAGACCCGAATTTCTTAAAAAGCACCAAAATCAACAACAGATAACCTATATTGAGTACCTGTTATACACCAGGCCCTGGGCCAAGCACACCAAGTATATTACCTCATTTAATCCTCACAATAAACCTATGACACAGTTACCACTAAAATTCCCCTTCTACAGATGATGAAACTGAGGCTCAAGGAGGTGAAGTCACATGGTCATACAGTGGCAGAGCTGGGAAATGTGCCCTGCTCATCTGGCTCCATAGCCTGAGCTCTGAACTGCTGTGTCATTCTGCCTTTATGTCCTTCCATTGGTTTTCCAGATCATTTCGGAGCGTACCAAGCCCAGGATGCATGAATTCCAGTCTGAGGTGTTCATGATCATTGGCGGCTGCACAAAGGATGAACGGTTTGTGGCGGAGGTAACCTGCCTGGACCCCCTGAGGCGCAGCCGCCTGGAGGTGGCCAAGCTCCCGATGACGGAGCATGAACTGGAGAGTGAGAATAAGAAGTGGGTGGAGTTTGCATGCGTGACATTAAAAAATGAGGTCTACATCTCAGGTAAGCAGGAGCCGTGGGATGCCAAAGCAAGCCCCCAACGGCACTACGTGTTTTCCTGAGGGAGAGCCAGGCAGCCATGCTAGAAGAATTACTATGAATGGCAATATCTAGCTCTGACTGGGTCAGGATATGGAAACCAGGAGCTCAGCTGGTCTTATCTTGGAAAGCGCATTATTACTTAATGAACGCTAACCTGGGTGCAGTATGGTATTAGGATCTGGGGGAGCAGGCAGACAGGTCCCGTCCTTCATGGAAAAGGAAGGAAGAACATGATACTAGAGTTGATTCAGCATCTACTGTAGGCATAGGACATGGAGCCAGGCATTGGAAATACAGTAATGAATAAAAACTTCTACTCTTCCCCCAACCTGACCCCTCCCTTCAAGTTTATTAGGTCATACTTTTAGACATTCCAGTAGCACCCAGTACATTTTCATTTCCTGCTGGTAAGTTGTTTGCTTGGTTATTTACTATCACTTCATGCCCGTCTCCCATTAGTCCTTAAATTCCGTGAGACTCAACACTGCATGCCCAGTACCTGGCACTGGGCCTGGCTACATAGGAAATGCTCAATAAATATTTACTAAATGACATACTGTCTACCAACTTTACAGCATAGTGAATGAATTTACACTTTGGTAGCATGTAATCATTTGCCTCAAATATCAGCTCTATAAGGTAGACGATTTTAATCTCCAGGTTACAAATGGAGAAAACTAGGGCTCAGAAAGGTTATGAAACATACCTAAGGTCACACACTGGTAAATGTCAGGCAGGATTCCAACTTAGGTTCACCAAGTCCCATGTTCTCCCATGACATTGAAAGCCACTTAGGTCTTCTCGGGACCCCAGGGGAGGAGACAGGCATTGCTTCCCCACTCATGGAGGCTTTTCTCTAACCTGTACTTGTTTGGGAAAGAGTTGCCTCCTGGAGCTGGCTTCCTCCAAAATCAAGGGCAGATCAGTTCTTTGGATATATTAATACTGAATATTAGGTTATAGCTTTCTTTCATCTTGTAGAAAATATTTTTAATTGTTGTAGAAGATCTAAACAATACAGAGTATAAAGTAAAACATGGCAGTTTCTCTGTGTCATTACAATCCTATATGTTTTAATTTTTTTTACAAAAATGGTTTTATATTGTCTTGGAGTAAGTAATGCTAGCTGCTGTAACAAACCATAAATCATCACAATAGTATGTGGGGGTTGAGGGAGTGGATCTGCTCCACTCAGTCATTCAGGGACCTAGGCTCCTTCCATGCTGTGATGCTACTGTTTTCCACACGTGGACTTCAAGGTTGATAAATTTCAGGAAGAGGGAGAAACTGAACGAGTTGAGAAGGTACACCTACTCCTAACAGCCTCAGCCTGGACGTGAGGCACCAGTTCTGCTCACATTCCATTGGCAAGAACTAGCCCCTCCCTGCGCCCCCAACCCCTATGCAGGTGGGCTGGGAAATGCAGGAGGAAAAGACAGGCTTGGTAATCATAGTCAGTCTGCCACCTACACTACACGTTATTCTACAACTTGTCCTTCCCATGTCTTCAATTTGAGGTTGTCTTTTTAAAAATGATACAAGCAATACATGAAAGCACGCTTGTTATACAAGAGTCACAGAAACTTGTGCTTCAATTAACAGCCCATTCTGGACATCATTACATGTCGGTATAATGGATCTATCATATGTAATAAGTGATCTAATACATGTAAGCATGGTACAATCGCCAGCACATGGTGAGAGCTCAATAGTGTTAGCCATCATTATTATTATCAAGATTATCAGTATTGTTATTCTTTTTACCAGCTGCAGACTGTCTATTGTATGGATGAACCATAATTTTTTTCAGCTTTTATTTTCCTAGTGAAAAAAATATTGCAATAAGCATTCTTAAACACATATATTTATGAACTTGTGCTGCTGTATGGAGAGATTCCTAGAAGTGGTCATAAGATGTGTGAATTTAGAATTTTCGTAGATATTGCTTAACTGTCCTCCAGAAATGTTGTAATAATTTACAGTTCAACCAGTTATGAGTGACAGTGTCCATTTTCTACATCCTTGAGAACATTTTTTACTATCAGTCAATTACATTTTTAATAGACTACAATGTTTAAATTTATTCTCTTGGATCATTAATAAGGTTGAGCATATTTTTGTATGTTTATTAGCTAAATGTATTTATTTAAAAAAATGATCTGTTCTTACCCTTTGTTTTTCTATTGGTTGTTTGTCTTTTTCTTATTAATTTTTTGGGGTTCTTGTTATATATTTATTGCTATTTGTATTGCAAATATTTTCTCCCAGACTGCAGATGTCTTTTAACTTTAATTTATATTTTATACAGTAACTTTCTCTCCTATATGATTCTGGGTTTTATGTCATGCTTAGAAAGCCCCCCACCCCAAGATCATTAATATCTTCTCCTATATATTCTCCAGTTACTTTTATAGAATTTACTTTTGAATTTTATTTTTTTTTATTTATTTATTTTTTGTGAGGAAGATCAGCCCTGAGCTAACATCCGATGCCAATCCTCCTCTTTTTGCTGAGGAAGATTGGACCTGGGCTAACATCTTTGCCCATCTTCCTCTACTTTATATGGGACGCCGCCACAGCATGGCTTGACAAGCGGTGCATTGGTGCGCGCCCCGGATCCAAACCTCCAAACCCTCGGGCCGCCAAAGTGGAGCGCGCGCACTTAACCGCTACGCCACCGGGCTGGCCCCTTGAATTTTATTTTAAGTGTAATGTGAAATGTGGATGTCACAATTTTTCTCTAAATAAATAGCCAATTGTTCTAATACCACTTATCTAATAATCTCCATATCTTTTGGCTTGTTTCTGTATTCTTAACTGTTTTTAGTTGATCGATTTGTCTAGTCTTCTGCTAGTACCACATTGTTTTTATTATCATGGCATTTTAGTATACTTTGATATTTGCTGGGGAAAGCATCCTTAGTCATTCTTCCTTTTCAAAAGTTTCTTAGAAAGTTTTCCAAATTTACTCTTCCAAATGAAATCTAGAATGAGCTTTTCAAGTTCCCTGAATAGTCCTGAGGGCACTGAATATCTAGATTAACCTGTGGAGGGTTGACATCTTTGCAATTATATGTCTTCTCATCAATGTACACAATACACCTGGCCAGTTAATCAGGTCTTCTTTTATGTCCTGAAGCAAAAATCATAGGTTTTTTTTTTTCTTTTTAATAAAGTTTGCATGCATTTCTTTGAAAGTTTATAGTTATTTTATAATTTTTGACACTACCTAAATGAGGTCTTTATCACAGGGTTTTGAATAAATAAAGACCTCGAAAAGGTACACAACCCAAAGAGAAAAACGGTTAAACTATATGAACAAAAAATTCATGGAAGAGGAAGGAGCTCAGCATCCCCAGCAGCCAGGGGAAACCAAACAGTGACATCGTCTTTCTCCATCAGGCTGTAAAACAAAACAAACCAAACACACCCTCCTAACGCTGTGGGTGGGTTATGGGAAAGGTGAGCGAGGACAGCTTTGGAGAGCTCTTTGGCAGCACCTATAAAAATTCAAGGTGAGCCCGCCCTTGACACAAGAATCCCACTTCTGGGCTCCCCCCTCGAGAAACACTTACCCGTGACACAGAGTATCATCAGTGGTATTCATTGCCGCACCAGTGCACATTTATAAGTCTGAAAAGTACATCTTTTGCTTTAGGTAGTTGGTGGTACTCTGTGCTGATGGGGAAATGGAAACACAAAGCCGTTACAATACTTAATTCAAGTCACCAAAAAAGTCAGTCCTCCTTTGTCTTGGTTTCCCTCCCTAACCGAATTATCTATTTTTTGTTTATTCAAGAGAATTATCTTGAAAAAATTATTTACCAGCTCATTCTCTAACGATCTAATAAAAATTATTAAAAAATAGGACAAACCCCACTTATATTTTTTATATAGATCAGAGATAGGAACCAAGAGAATTTTGTAAGATTCCTTGGTGATTTTTCCAGGTGTATATTTTTGTTTGTTTAAATAAATAGCAACAGAACTTAAGCTGCTTTCTAATTCGCCTGCTGGTCAAGGCCCATCTATCCTTGCCCGAAATGGTGCAACCCTACCTGTCCTGCCCCTCACCTGCACGAACACTGAGTCTAGGCTCCTGCTGGCTCCACCTGCCCAGGTGGACTTGGGTGCCACCGCCCTGAAGCCCACCTCTTCTCTGAACTCTCACGGCACGGAGGTGACACGTGACACAGTCTGGCGCATGATTCATCCCAGCCTTACACTGTCGCTCCCCGTTCTCTGTGTTGGCTCTGCTTCCCCAACCAGACCACAACACCTTCAGGATTTCTTTGGTATGCCCTTAGTGGGGCTGGCCCGGGGATTTAGCCCTTATGGACTTGTAGAAAATTATGGGAGAAGCTGTATTTCTGACACATCTGGTGGTTACTTAAATGCTCTGTATCTCTTCTAGGTGGCAAAGAAACACAGCACGATGTTTGGAAATATAATTCTTCGATCAATAAATGGATTCAAATTGAGTATTTGAACATAGGCCGCTGGAGGCATAAGATGGTGGTGTTGGGTGGCAAGGTCTATGTGATCGGAGGTTTCGATGGTTTGCAGAGGATCAACAATGTGGAGACCTACGACCCCTTCCACAACTGCTGGTCCGAGGTATAGGAGATTTTTCTATGATTAACTCCCTTTGTATTATTATTTCAAAGCTTCAAAAAAAGGTATATTCTGATGTAGATGTGTGGCTTTCTCTCTCCCTGCTCCCATTGAGAACATATTTGGTGGCTCTGAGCTTCCCTCCTCATAGGAGCCATTGCTCCAGCATTGCTGATCAGGTCGCAGAAACGACTTCCTTCCAGATGGGGAAGCTCTATGGGCACCTGTTCTATCCTGGCCAGAACCCCAGATGTGGAGGGGAGGCTTGGTCCTAACACTGGTGCATGTCTTGGCCCAGAGTCTGTGTCTCCTCAGATGGCGTCTGCCCTTGTCTGCTCCACACCAGACACACAGGGGTCCCTATAGCACACTGTTCGTTGAACCCGGAGTAATCTGGTAGTGTTTGGAAGTCAGCCCTTATTTATCTGCCCATAATGATGAACGATTTACATGTCTGCCTGCAAGATTTTAGCAATGCAACCTCAGATATATATCATACTCAGGAAAAGGTAAAGTGTTGCTCATCAGTGCACACAATGTTTCAATTGTGCAGGATGAATACGCTCTGGAGATCTGCTGCACAACATTGTGCCTATAGAGAACAATACTGTATTGTACACTTGAACATTTGTTAAGAGAGTAGATTGCATGTTGAGTGTCCTTACCACAATAAAAAAAAAGATAATGTGATCTCACTTCCTGTATTTCCAGGTTAGTCCCCATTTCAAATTTTCTTTCTCCTTATCAGATCATATGTCAGAGCATGTTCCAGCTTTGGGTGGTGTAAAACATGGTCATCGTGGGCACAAGCAGAGGTAGCCAGGTCATCATGGCATCCGGCCAAGACCTGTCAACCTGAAAAGTGCTATATAGGGAGCCCTTGACATTTATAGAGGTGTGCCCAAGGTCTTCTCAATTCATCAAGTCCCATCACAGAGTTGCTCCATGACCCAAGAGGGTCATGTCAACGGGCAAGATGTTCTTGGAAGTCCCCTTTAGTGCCTTGGGGTTCACAGAGTGGAAGCACGAGTCTGGCTTAATCCCTAAATCTGCATGTTGCCCCAGAGTGGGAGAGTCTGCTTACACGTGGCCACCTGAAACTCATACCAGCTTTTCTTCCTGGACGTAAGCACCAAGGACAATGTAGGCACTCAGTAAATATTTTCTAATCAATGAACACATGAATGAATATGAAAATACCTGTTTGAGAAAGCATTTTCCTCCAACATTGGCTGGTTTCATCTGGACTCTGTGAGAAACAGGCTGGAAACATCCAACACACAGCCTGCCCTAGCCTGTCTGGAGCCTGGAGGGAGGGTGGGAAATGTGTGCTTTGATCCTCTGTGTCTCAAGAGGAGTCAAGCCTACAGGCCTTGTGACTGCAGGCAAAGGATGCCCAGGCTTGTGTCGCCTGGCTCCTAGCCTATGTCCTGTGAGCCACCGAAGCAATCTGGGCAGTGTGACTGACAGCTTCTCCTGGTGTCCTGTGCCTCTGCAGGCTGCACCCCTCCTTGTCCATGTCAGTTCCTTCGCAGCCACCAGCCATAAGAAGAAGCTCTATGTGATTGGGGGAGGGCCCAATGGGAAACTGGCCACAGACAAGACTCAGTGTTATGACCCTTCAACCAATAAGTGGAATTTAAAGTCACCCATGCCGGTGGAGGCTAAATGCATCAATGCAGTGAGTTTCCGGGACCATATCTATGTTGTTGGTAAGTGAGTGAATGGCTTCTTATTATCTCAGGTCGCCCACCCATGCAGCCATGCAGCCATGCAGCCATGCAGCCATGCAGGTAGAGCAGACAAGGCCCTCCTGGGAACTCACGAATTCCTGGGTGATGTGGGTGGGGTTGAAAAGGAAGAGAAGATGGGATGGGCTTTGGTGAACTTTCCCTTTGCAGTCCTGGAGGCAGAATCAGCCCACGTTTAGGAGACATACAAAGCAGACGGACACTGGGGCCCAGAAGAGGAGCCAGAAGTTGCTGTAGGAACAAAGTTGGGTTGTAAGCACTAGCAAATGTACACAAATTGAAATGTGCACAGTATAATAAGTGCCCAATAAATGGCAGCTATCAGGGGCCGGCCCCGTGTCTTAGCGGTTAAGTGCACGCGCTCCGCTACTGGCGGCCCGGGTTCGGATCCTGGGCTCGCACCGGCGCACCGCTTGTTCGGCCATGCTGAGGCCGTGTCCCACATACAGCAACTAGAAGGATGTGCAACTATGACATACAACTATCTACTGGGGCTTTGGGGAGAAAAAGGGGGAAAAAAAAAAGGAGGAGGGTTGGCAATAGATGTTAGCTCAGAGTTGGTCTTCCTCAGCAAAAAGGGAGGATTGGCATGGACGTTAGCTCAGGGCTGATCTTCCTCACGAAAAAAAAAAAAGGCAGCTAGCATTATTTATTTTGTGTTCATGGGAATTTTGCTCTCCCTCCTTGCTTTGGGGGCTCTGAAAAATTGCCTTTAGCCAGAAGGAAGGCCTGGCTGGCTAGACCACAGTTGGCATGCAATGGATCTCAATCTTGACTACACCTTAGAATCACCTAGGGAGCTTTTTAGAAAAATATGGGTAGCTGGGCCTCACTTCAGACCAATGAAATCAGAATGGGAAAGAGGATGTTGCCAATGGTACAAGGTGTTTTTAATGCACAGCCAGGGTTAGGGAAATGCCGAAAATAAAGAACTTCGGCAAATAAGAGCTAATCAGAGAAGGATTCCTGGAGGCAAAATACAGGAACAGATTAAGGAAAAACCCCTTCTCTCCCTTGCATCGGGTGTCATGTGTGTTTATGGTCAGCTTCATGACTCTGCTTCAAGGTTCTAATCTCAAGATGGGTAACTGGGGCTGGTGTCACAGGTCATACTCAGTCTACAAAGAGATGCCACTGCTTCTAGTCACTGCCATTCGTTGACGGCTTCTATGTCCCAGGCCTTCTGTCAGGTGCTTTCTGCACATGGTCCTTCTGAGTCTTATAACTGCCATGGTCTTGGTGCTCATGGTTACAGATCAAAAAGCGGCAGAGCTGGGATTATGAGTAGAGTCTACTGATGTACCAGGTGGGATTTCTTCCGGGCAGCAGTCTTCTGGTACATTTTGGCAGCTGTGGTACGCCAGGTGTCCTTTAGAACTTGATTGGCACCTGGTTGCAGAATTTAAAGGGCATTGTGAAGTGTCTCCAGCACTTCCTGCCTCCAGTGATCCTCTCAGGCTTTCCAGAGAGCTCTTTCTCTTGCCAAGATGGTAGACTTGACCTAACCAGAAGTAGGATTTTAGTGGTTAAAGGGGAAGAAAACCAGAAAAATAGATGCCCACCGTGTTTCCTTTCCTCTTCAGGTGGGGCCATGAGAGCGCTGTATGCCTACAGCCCTCTGGAGGACAGCTGGTGCCTGGTGACCCAGCTCAGCCATGAGAGGGCCAGCTGCGGCATCGCGCCCTGCAACAACCGCCTCTACATCACCGGGGGACGCGACGAGAAGAACGAGGTCATCGCCACCGTGCTGTGCTGGGACCCCGAGGCCCAGAAACTGACGGAGGAGTGCGTCCTGCCCCGGGGGGTGTCGCACCACGGCAGCGTCACCATCAGGAAGTCGTACACCCACATCCGGAGGATCGTGCCAGGAGCGGTGTCTGTCTGACTGCAGAGGCGGGAGGACCACTTGGGGAGCAGGACAGTGCGCCGGAGACCCTCCTCCTCACCTCTCACCCACCTCCATCCCACTTCAGACAGACAGTGGGCAAGGCTTGAGTTTTAGGCCATATATCAGGGGCTCCCCGTGGCTCCCCATGGGGGCTCCTTGGAAGTCACACTTTTGGGACACTTGAGACTAGCCAGGAATGTTTGCATGACCTACCTCAGGAGGGAAGAAGAGTAATATTGAACATTCTGGACATACCTGTCCCATGCCAGGTTCAGCGCCAGGCACTTTTGTGTATCAGTTCATTTAGCCATCACAATGACCTGGTGATTGGATGTCATCACTCCTGTTTTACAGGTGAGGAAACTGAGTTTCAGAGAAGCTAAAACTCAGGTCTTTCCATTTCAAAGTCAGTGACCTTTCTGCCAAGCTGCCTATCTCAGAGCAGGAAAAAGCAAAACAAAATCGGCTCATTTTTTGCTCTGACAAGTTTGCTGAAGGATTCACTCAGCAAGGCAGGGAAATAAAGGTGTTTCTTTTTTCTTTTCTTTTTGTTTTTCCTTATATTTAAACCATATGGAATCCTTAGTGTTAGAGCCTTGGGATCCTTGTCAGGAGCATCTCATAGCTTCTTCCATTGGACAGGTTTGGGGAGGTGGGTCTGGGAGGGCCTGTTTGCTTTGAAAGAGATAAAAGACTGCTGTCCTCCCCTCAAAAGCCCCTATGTTTTATGATCACAGGAGGCTCATCTTGGACTAGAACTGTTATTGCCAGACAGAATTGTTCCTTCAGCGCTGGCCAGTGTCTTGGCCTTTTAATGTCCAACAGTTGTATTGCAATGTAGAAAAGAGGTTTGCAGAGACTCAGAATATTGTTTTTTAAAAATGTAAACATCCTTACACTGCTGGCCTCTGCAGAATGGCTGACTCTTCTCGACAGTATACATTCTACTTTTTAGACAGTGATTTGGGTCCATGTCCCTGAGACTCTACCCTCCTGGAAACTTAGTTTTCAAGATCCTTTTAAGACTTTCTATTTGGTTTTTGGATCAGCTTGACACAATTTTGACTCAAAGAACAGAGTCTGTCCTTCACTCTAAGTGATAGAGCTTTCCAATGAGCTCACTGGAAATTCATTCTAATCCCCAAGTTGGGGAAACAGATTAAGAGATCCTGTTTCACATGCTGTATTTAAAAAGCAACAACAATGGTAACAACATAGTAACTGCATTACCCAATGTGCTTTATTTTCATCATATGATTTCAAATCTCTTCATAGAGTTTTATTTTGTGTTAGATGTGGCATATTGTGCTTGCACTTCTCAGTGGTTTGGGAAGTTAGAGGTATTAGAGTTGATAGTGAATTTAATTTTCATAGAAAATTATGGTTAGGAGAAGCTAATGTTCAAAGCAGATTTAAAAAGACTTGGAAAATTATAAGTGAGGTTTCTGTTGATACTTAGATCATTGAGGATAAATATAAATGCATGTTGGTGTGTGAAAAGCTCTGTGCCTCAGGGTCAGGTGTGACAGGTCAGCTCCCTCCTATGAAAAGTAAGATGGGAAAATACAAACATATTTGCGGAAATTTAGAACACATGCATCACTTACTCATGAGCACTAATGACCTTAACAAAGCTCTCAACTGAAACAATTTAATCTAGTTCAGTTCAGCAAACATCCAAGGAGTTCTTTATGTTGGGCAAGACTTGGAGACACCAATGAATAAGACAATTCCCCACCCTGAAGACACTCAGTAAACAGGTAAATAGGCCACTATTCAATATTATAACATTTCTTTTTGTCAAGTTAGTGAAAAATGAGATCTATATGAAGTAATGAAGCAGCACCCAAGTCTTTACGGGCCTTCCAAGTGGTGTCCTTGGGAAGCTGTGCTCTTAGGTCAACAGTGTGGCCATGGCTTACATGCTTGTCTTTCTTTGAGATCACCTTCAGAAACTGTTTATGAGCTACAGAAGAAATCAGTCATGTTCCAAAGACAATTTCAGGGAAGAACTTCCAAAGAGGAATCTAATGACAACATCACTGGCCTCCCACATAGACAGCCCAATACACAGAGAGCCTCCCCTCAGAAAGAGAGTGCTCCTTGTCATGGCAGTCCTTTGAGAAGAGAAATCAGCAAATTTTGAGCCCATCAGTGGGTCAACCCTACACTGGAAAGTGAGGATTTAGAATCTCTGTGTTATAGACCTGGTTCTAAATGCAGGACCCACATTTCAGGACTAGTTCAGAATACCTAAATGAAGACAAGGGAAGGATTCTATGTGATTTTTGTATCACCAGATAGGCAGGTGAGTCGTGGTAAAACCTCAGCTACCTGGCCCTCAAGAAATAGGAATTCTCAATAACAGCATGGGTTAGCAGACAGAGACACCTATTAAGAAGATCCAGAGTTCTGCACCTGAAGCTGCCAGTCAGTGGCTTTTAGGGAAAGAAAAAAGTTCACGACATTCTGGGTTCAAGGGCAGTGTGTATAAGTATAACATAACTTATACACTTAAGTGTATATAAGTATATACACACTTAAAATGTTATATCATCAAGATTTAAGTTTCTAGGCACTAGCCAGTGAAGGAAGCGCTTGAAATCTAATCTCCATTCGCAGATAAATAAAGAAAGAAACAAAAATCTATTTTGCAGGAAGTTAGCTGTCATAACTCATGCCACCAGCAGGGGGATGAGGCTGATTAATGCCAGAGGAACCAGAGACAAAGGGCCGTAGAGCTCAGGCAGGGCGTGCGGGATGTCCCGGCACAGCAGACTGGATTTAAGGCAGGTCCTGTGAGTAGACAGAGCACCCCTGGCTGGGAAGAAGAGGATGAGGTAGGAGGAAGAGGAGGAGGAGGCGGTCAGGTTCTAAGGACACAGGTCTAGAAACTGATATCAGGGGCCTGGACTTGGTGAGCATGACTCCATTCTCAAGAAGGGTAGAGGAGAATAAGGAACAGGGGTTCCGGGCAAGTGGGTCCAGGAGGGAGCCCACTTCTCGGAAGTGAGGCACAAGTTGGAGCAGGATGAGCAGGCAGACCCGTTTGCTGCGGGGCCTCTGAGCTGCTTGGCTGGGTCTCTCCTATCTTACTGGACCTGCAGAGAATGAGGCCCAGAGGCTCTGATGGGACAGAACCCTAGGGGAGGCTAAGGGACCTCCATCGACAAGGCTGGTCTGAAGCGGGCGGGGAGCTAAGCTCACCAAACCCAACAGATGAATGTTCTCTTCTTACCTTTCATCACATTCTGCTCTCAGTGACTTCAGGAAACACACACACACACACACACACACACACACACACACACACACACTGCCCTTGAACCCAAAGCAAGCTATGGTCTCAGGAAAATGCAAATATCCTTTGCTTATAGCTGTGAAATTACAGACTTGCTATTTCTAAAAGTCCTTGAGGTACTGTTATTGCTTACTCCTCCTACTTGATTTTGAAAAGGAAAAAGGAAAGTACTCAATAGAATTTTCAAAACGAGTAACCACCACTGGAATTTCTTCTATAAAGTCCTAACTCGGGGTTGCAAAATCATTTTTCCCCTTAATATCTGATCTGGGTGTTGTATTAGATCTCGTAATTTGAAGAGGCAACCTTCATGGAAATTTACAAATATCTCAAATATGGCTACTGCAATATCAGTTTCGACAGGTCAGATCTTCATATTTATAGGTAAAAATAGTCAACACTTAGTTAACTAAATCCTTTAAGCATTTTGATTACATGAGGTTGTATTTTTTTTTAAGTGATCAAACTAAGGATATTGTTTATAGGTAAAAATACAAACAAAATTTTTATTTATTCAATAAAATATGTGTGGAATGGATAAAAATATGTTGTATACAATCACTAGGTGAATTTTCTTTTTTTGCTTGTTTTGGTTGGTATAAGTAAGTGGTATCTAAATAGAAATTAATTTAGGAGGTGGAAATTTAAAACATAGTTGGTTCAAGAAGGTTCAGATAAAAATTCATAGGATAAGATTAATCAGATTTTTTTCACAGAATGACAAAAAGTAGACAGCTTTTCCCTCCCTGATGACTCATTACCTCTCCGCGCAAGCTTTTACCAACCCATTTGCCAATTGTGTGACTCATTCTGCCTGGCCTTATGCCTTCCTACAGGAGGCTGCCTTCCAGGTTTCTGATTTCTGCTCTGACCTCTCAGTCCTGCGTCAACCAACGTCACCATGTTGTCTCTGAAGCCTTAACCGATCTGTGCTTCTAAACTTGGGGCACATGAAACTTGGGATACGAGACAGAGCTCTGTGGTTCTCACTCTGGAAAACTCTTCATCACTTTAGTTTGTTTTAGGTTACAATGCAAAGGCCCTATGCATTGAAAAGGAAAACCTGAGGCTTTAAAGAAAGGTGCAGTTACATGAATAGCTTTAGAGCATTCCACCTGAGCCTCCCTAAAGACAGAGGTTCTTGCTCCTCTGCCTTAGGGATTCTGGGTGGAAAACCTTGGGAAGCACAGCCCCGTCTCACTGGTGGGAAGTGTTCTGGAGTTAATCCTGGGCCATAGATCTGACAGCCAGTTCACCAGCTGTGAGTCAAAATGGGGTTTTGACCTTGACTTTGCTGCCCAGCCCTCCCACCTCCCTGCTGGGTCTGGGTGGTAATCTGATGCCTGGGCAGCTTGGCCAGACCTGGCATCTGCCTGGCTTTTCTGGCCTCCTCCACCTGCTGCTGGTGTGTGGTATCCCCCAGACGAGCCTCCTTTTCACGGGAGAGGCAGCCTATACATAGGATCTCAGTTCTCCCCCACCTCCCGTGGGCCCAGGCCTCATTTTCTGTTCCTGCATGCTGCCACAATTCAAGACCCTTGGGGCTGGGGACTAATTCCGGTCATGTCCCACCCACCCCCAAGCTGCCCAGCATCAGCCTGCCTGCTTATCAATCACTCTGGTTTTCTCTTCCATGTTTGTTTCCAGAGCCTGGGGATTTTCCTTTTCTTCTTGTGTGCTCAGATGTCTCCTTTGTTATTGATTCCTGCATGACAGGCTGCCTGACACCCATGCCTGCCCCATCTCTCATCATCTGCCTGGGTCCCTAACCTGCTGCCTCCCCTGGGGTCTCCCAACATAGAAACCTCAGTACCCTCCTTGTATTGACCTCTAGCTACCCCAGCACCGTGGCGTGAAACTCCCAGTGGGGACAGAGAGTTCAATCTCATAGTCCCAACTCTTGTCCATGTAAGGAGAGTTCTGTACATGACTCTTCACTTAATTTCCCAAAGGACATCACGGACCAGGCTGGAACAGTTAAGTAAGACTTGACAGATGACTTAGAGATGACATAGGGAAATAAGCACAGAATGGAACAACACTCTGGATAATGAGGATGACAAGAGACAGCGATCCCTGAGA